TATATATATTGGGCTAAATATTTTATGCATGTAACACAATTTGGTATATAATTTGGTTTGGTGCTTCGTGGTGGGGGGAATCCAACAACCGATGTCGAGGCAGCATCGCTTTCAATAGTGGTGCGTATACGCAGAAACACACTGGCAAATTCGATGTAAAAGCAGCTTCCGAATCAGAAGTTTTTTGCCGTTAGACTGCGACAGAAAACGACGCTGCCCAGAGTCAGGAAGTGGTAACCCATATGAAAGCAACCAATCAAACAAAAACAAAAAACAAAAAAACAAAAAAAAACGAGAAATAAACAATAAAAAAGAAAAAAATGTATTATGTTGTGAAGAGGTCTTAAAACATGGATACCAGCTTATTCTATAGGCCTACCTTAACAGGTCTTGGGAGATCCTTTGCTGTGAATCTAAGAACAATAAGAGCAGAGGCTGTGGCACCATACCAAATCCAAGCAGAGAAGCTGAAGTAGTTTACCAACGTATCGAACTCGCTTGGTATCAACATTATAATAATTATCACCGTCTACGGATTAAATGAAGAGACGTTAGTTAGTAGAGATTATTCAGAAGGAGCTCCTGACGACATTGAATGATGATGATGACAACGACGACGACGACGATAACAACAACAACAACAGCAGCAACAACAACAACAACAACAGTAACAGCAATAGCAACAACAACAACAGCAACAGAAACAAGAGCAGCAGCAACAACAACAACATCAACAACAACAACATCAACAACAACAGCAACAATAGCAAACAGCAACAACAACATTCTTAGCGTAAGAACATCGTAATGTAAGAATTAGCCGAAATTGACTAGGAGAAAAATAGCCTTATTTTGGAAGAAAACACAAATGCTCATGGTTTTTGTAGAAATTGGACGATTTTCAGACCTTGACATTTTACCGTTGTTTTGGGTGCTGTGACACACACGGATAATATAAATGTGTTCTATGGTTACCTACGGACCCTACAGTCATGTAAAATCAATAACAAATTTGAAAAAAGGAGCCCTGTAGTGGAAAAACTTTGGTCGAATTAAGACGATTTTTCGACCCTGCAATTTTCCGATTGTCTTGGGTTTTGTTGTACTTCGGATTATACAAATGTGTTTTGTGGCACCTACGGACCCTACGAATGAAAGAATTTTCCAACCCTGGCATTTGTTTCGTTGTTTTGGGTGCTGTGACAACTACGGATCATATAAATGCGTTCTATGGGCAGCTATGGACCATGCAAATGAAAGATGCACACCAATAAACGACTAGGTGAAAAATTGGTCAATGTTCGCAAACTTTTTTGGACGATTTTTTTTACCCTGCCATTTTCCGTTTGTTTTGTGTTCTGTGGGACCTACAGATCACAAGAAAGTTTAACTCTAAGCAGATACCTTAGTATGCCTCAACTTACCATAAACATCAGTGCAGGCACTGGTGTTATCCTCTCCATGTGTACCATCGATAAAGATTTCACCATGTGGCCTCCTCTAGCCGCAGCAAAAACAACTCTATGATGTGAAAATACGGTTTAGTAGACTACGAGTTATATAACTATAAATTAATAATTTAATAGTACAAATACTAGGGCTACCACTACTAAACTACTGATACGGCTTTGCTGCTACTACAATTCTTCTGTTGCTAGTACTACTACTACTACCACCACCACCACCAACACCATCAGTAGGCCTACCACTAACACCACCAGTAGCACTACTTTATTTCATTAACAAGAGATTATTCAGTGGCCTACTACTTTGCTAATAATACTATTATTTAATAATAATAATAATAATAATAATAAATATTAATAATAATAATAATAATAATAATAATAATAATAATAATAATAATAATGACTACTACTACTACTACTACTACTACTACTACTACTACTACTACTACTACTACTACTACTACTGCTGCTGCTGCTGCTGCTGCTGCTGCTGCTTACTACTACTACTACTACTACTACTACTACTACTACTACTACTACTACTACTACTACTACTACTACTACTACTACTACTACTACTAATACTACTACTACTACTACCACTACTGCTACTACTACTACTACTAATAATAATAATAATAAATTACGAAAAGTCGAAGAAACTGTCAATGTACCTAGATGTAGTGAAGCAGGCTCCATTTGCGGCACCAAATGTCGACAACATAACAGACAATGGCATAATCCACGCCCACGAACCCAAAGTTCGTTGCCCAAAAGTCTTTAATGTAAAAAATCAAAACAAATTCACAAATTATTACTGTATAATTATTTCAGCTAGTATAGCGCCAAATGCCAAAAAGGTCAGTTAATTTCATACCCAGCAAGAATCAGATCACACTGCAAGAGCCAAACCCATGTCTGGCCCGGTGAACACATATTCTAACTAAAGAAACACTCTTAGCCTTGAAAACCAAAACCATAAAAACATGGAGGAAATTTCATGCATAAAACCGACCCAGGGAAACACCGAAAATGACAATTGATTGAAAAGAAAGGCGGGACTTAATACAGGCGGAGCGACAGCCCTCTAATTTGAGACCACTTTTTCAAAACCCAAATATCAATCTTCTATTTAATAACACTAAGTTCTCTCTATGTGGAGACCGAGCCACCCCAAGCATTCAGGTCCCAAAGGCGGTCTCGAATTGGTGGTGACTGCATAAGAGAATAGATTTAAAAAATAGGTTTTAAAATACTTGCGGCTACACTAGTTTGTATAGATTTAACAAATATTACTTATAACCTATTAAAATCTAATAAAATACAAAATTATATAATAATCCAACATTTAAGTTACATAATAAGTAATACATACAACAGCAACTGCACTGGACGATATAAGTTCTTCCGGTGACATCACAGTCAGATACGACAGATTTGTCATCACATAAAACAAAGTCACCATTGGAATACCAATTATAATAGATAACGGCAAATTTCTGATACAATAAATTAAAAAAAAAATGTATTAAAATATTCAATTTCAACATAGGCATACGCAATTGAAACTACGAGAAGGCTTGTTCAAATGTGACCTACCTTTCAGGCTTCTTGAGTTCCTCGGTGACATAATTCAACTGGTTCCTGGTTTAAATAAATAAAGATAATTTAAGCATTAATCACAATGTTATCAAAGCTCGATTTTAGCCGTTACTGTAATCAAACTCGTGATATAGGCCTACTATAGGATATAGTTAATGAACAGCTTGGTTTTATCCTTATTGTTGCTAGATAGAGTTGTTTCTGAAATGACGAATATTGCTTGAATGGAAATGGAACAGAGGCGATAGACTATGAAGCCGATGAATAGAGGGCAATAAAGAGTACAAAACGGAGTTTATATATTTATTTTTTTATTTATTTATTCTTTTTTTATGTACAAGCAAATCATATATAACTGGTGGTGACACCCAACCTTTGCTAAAATGTCTGAACACAATGCATATAGGCCTAATATAGAACTTTCTAGAGTGTCAATCAAACCAAACAAATGACCAATCAAAACAGGGCCAGAATTGCGCGCAAATGCCTAACAAACACACGCGTTATCCCACAAACGCACGTGATTTGGTACGTTTACGTTGTCAAACGACATTTTAACAGCAATCAAAGGTGCGGGGCTTAGCGGAAAGTTCTGTATAGAGATGTGTACTTACCATCCCTCATAAGCCCACAGTCCTTGATAAAATGCTATTCCATATGCAAATGCACTGGTCTCTGAGCCTTTGAATGATACCGACGGATCTATATGATCTGTGTTTCCTGAAAAATTCATATTTATAATAAAAATATAAAATGTAAATTTCCAAGATCTTTATGTTTACCAATTTTATTAAGTTTCATTATTTTATTTTATTTATTTTTTAAAGTATTTTTGTTTTTATTGCTCCAACTTACAAGAGACTGACCATGGAAGAAATTGCAAAGGTAAATCTTTCATAAACTACAATAATTGTGCAATAATAGCAAAAAAGAAAACTATAATATAATATAAACAGATATGTTACGCGGTAACTTTGATGTTTATTTAACAATGCTCAACTATCTGAGGGCATTTATCAGTTACATGAGAGTGAACTGGTTACGTTGAATCTGTGATATGACAACCGGACTGATCTAGAGTAGTATAGTATTTAAGTTCGCCTACTCAATTTTCATTCTTTTGTACGACAAATTAATTAATTCGCTTACCTTTTATCATGTTTATTAGGCCGATCACGATGATAAGACCAAGTGCAAACAATTTGGCAGCGGTGAAGATAATTTGGATCGATGTTGCTAGTCTAGCGCTAATGCAGTTTATGATGACCAGGGTTACTAAAAAGAAGTAAACGAAATACTATTGCTGTTTTAAACAACATACACATACCGACACACGCCCACACACACATGCACAAACATTAATGGGGCAGCTGACTCTCAATGAGTTATAGTAAAATTTTGCTTAAGCTGCTCCTGACCAAATTTGTTGTTGTACTGTACCTTTTGTAAATGTGTATTGGTCGGATAAATGAAATGAAATTACATTATTTTAATAAGGTATACTGTATTGCTATAGAATCTAGACCATGCTTGCACGCACTAATATGACGTCAATGCAACGCGCTACGATACGCGCTATTGTACGCGCCACTTTGCGCAAAACTATGACGTCAAAACGTTGGATAGCCACAGAAACGTTAATTATTCTTACACACACAAGCTGCAGCCAAAAGTTTAGTTGCCAAGACTGGTGATGAACAGTCGTCGAAAAATGGGGCAGCAACGTAGTCAGCAAATGCCAAACTTATAAGAGCTATGGTAGACGTCCGAAGTACGAATATTACCGTCCAGGCGTACAAATATGCTGCTATATTTCCAAAGGTAAATTTAAGGTAGGCATATTCGCCTCCAGATTTCGGTATCATAGTACCAAGTTCGGCATAACACAAAGCACCTGAAATTAGTAAAAGCAAGATATAAACTAGTCAGTTTTTAATGAGGCTTCCGTATCAATGAAAATTATACCATACGGTACACTCCCTAACAGCGTAAAGGTAAATTAAGGGTGTGTGTTAATTTTATTTTTTAGTTTGTAGGTGTTAACATGGAAATCATTGGCAGGTAGGCCTATGTCTTTAAGCCTAGCATGCTCACCATCCAATTCCAAGGTTATAATTCTAATTATGCAAGATTCCGAAACTCCAACCCCCCCCCCCTTTATGGACGGATACCTATAATTTTAAACGACGTAAAACTATTTGAAAATGTAATTCTATTCTTAAATGCAACATATTTTGATACTATAAAAGTACCGACAATTGATTGATTGACTGATTGATTGATTGAATGGTGGACTGACCGATACGTACCACAGGTAGCTATTATACCACAGGCGGTCCAAACAAGTATGCTAGCTCCGACACTCCCCGTTGCCACCAGGACTCCTCTCGGGGATACGAAGATTCCCGAGCCGATCATACTTCCGACGATTAAAGAAATCCCACCTATTAATTTGATGCTTCTTTCAAGGGACACCTTCCCACCATCCTGTGTTGTGACCTCCGTGTTACCGTTGACGTCATGTCGCTTTCGTAATTCCGTTGTCATATTCTGTACATTATTTGGAAAGATATAATTGCAATACTATAATAATGTCTGTTTTGAGCAAATATGCTTGAAAACAACATTCGTTATTTTAAATTTCTTATTCTCTAATAGACCTATTTAATAAATCATGAGCTTTATATTGTAAATTAGACCATATTGC